ACACCCTGGCAGATCCAACTTTCCGAAAAGATAATGCCCGACCACATGTTGCAAGAGTCACAATAGACTTCTTTCAACATAATGATGTCACATTGTTACCATGGCCACCAAGATCTCCCGACTTATCCCCAATTGAGCACGTGTGGGATATGATGGGTAGGAGATTGCTCAATTTGCAACGTCCTCCTCAGACTCTAGAAGCACTTCGAGAGGAGTTGGTGATTGCCTGGAATGAGATACCACAGGAGGACATTGACCACCTGATCAGAAGCATGCCTAGGCGCGTTGGAGAATGCGTAGCACATCAGGGTGCATCCACGCATTATTAAAGGTCAAAGGGCTTTAAAGCAGTGCAATCATTTTGAAATTTTTATCATTTATTATTATGCTTCATTAAGTACCTATACAAAATTTTGTTAAAATAAAACCATTTAAACTGGGTGTTCGCATTTATATGTCACTTAGTATATATAACTAAGGTTGTGTTGATTATGTCACCGTCGGTGGATATCAAAGATAATTCTAAAATAATTTAAAACACTAACTTTCATCAACATTGAAATAAATAATTCTAATCAAACTGAAAACAAAATATTAAATAAAATTTTGTTACTTTTGGGAACATTCTCTACCCTAAAATAACTGACATTGTGTCTTGAATCATCCTGTTTACGTGTCTCTCTCCGCTAAACATTAACAGTCTTAGAATATTGCATAACTTACTCTGAAGCCTTGTATTGTGTCTCACATAAATTGTTATGGATTTGTTATCCTCTTTATGGATGTTATCTGTCGTATGGTCACGAATACAGAGAAAGATGCAAGTGCCCATCTGATGCTACTTCATTTACAAGATAAATATAGATTAATTGATAGTACTTCTTTTTGTGGAATCATTCGTTTGCAAATAGTTGGGAAAATTACAATTTAATCTCGATTTATAATGAAGACTCCGTCTAGAAAATAAATTAACTTGTTAAATGAAGCGTGAAATTACTTGTATGGGAGGCACCTTAGATCGAAATCTAGATTTGGCACAGAATTTCAAAACAGCTGATAATGAAATATTTTTTTTTGGGCGAGTGACTATTTGAGATTTTAGCAGATGGGATGAACTTATATCTAAACGCACTTTTTTCAACTTCACAATGCTGCAATAAACGCTGTTATTATAAGGCCATATTTGTAAGAGGAAAATCCACTAATCTAATAATGTTTGGCCAATGAAACCACATATATTTGAAATTTTTCTTTCATGTAGCGTATGCTCTGGTCACAACGGTGACTTCTTCAGTACATTACACTTTTGACAATATTTTATTTACCCTGTGGACTGTGATCTAATTTGGTAGAATATACTTGAAGGAAAAATCTAATTGATATTCTCAAACATTACTAATGGTCTATAAGTTCTTTATCCAGGTTTTTCCTCACAGTCTTTCACTTCGTTTGTTTTCATATTCCTATACAGTGCGTTACTACAACAGTCTGAAAGGTCCGTAACATGCCGAAAAGGCGTAAAGCCATTATTCCAAATTTTAGGATGACACCACGTAAAACCAGCATAGCATAGCCCACGACCGCCTGGGGTAGACATTCCCGCTCCCAAAAGGACAAGCGAGTATGAGGTTACCTGCAGATTTTTTAATGTACCAGATACGTCACCCTCGCCCATCGTTCCGAAAACGCCTAAAGACGCGAAAACCCAGTCAGAACTGTTGTCGCAACACACAGGTTAATTGTTACGCAAACTTCGACTAATGTGTTGTAAATGCATTGTTTTCGGATCTGAAACGCAATAAATAGCTCTTCAACATTTAAACTGTTGTGTCTTATATCATTTTCTCACGGGACGATCATCAAACGTCAAAATGCTATTTCTCGCGTTTCAGATCACACACTGTATGCTATATAAGAAACAATCACCTGCAATCAACGTGATGAATCCCTGGATTAACTTTCTACTTGGATTAAAAATTGTTTATATGCCTTTAATATCTTTCTCAAATAAAGGTTAGTCTGAACAAATACCATCTTTGTAAGTTAAATAAGCTGCACTATTACGACAAAGAATATCTGAAGAATATGTGAATTTTAAAATTTTAAAATAGTAGAACTTTTGTTTAAAGATACCGTTATACTAAAGCATGTCATAAATTGAGTCATGGAAATATTTGTAAATGTATATGCCGGCGTCAAACGCTGAAATCCGTCATTCCCTGAGATGCCTAGTCAGTCCCCGTATTGCCGACAAACACCGTAACAGTTTGATTATTACAACATTTGACTAAGCATTTCAGTCATTCCCGGTAATAACTGAACAATTTCAGTCAAACACCCTAACAACCACATCAACTTCGTTACTGCATTCGCCTATTTTAGTCATACTCTGTAGTGTTGCTCCAATGAAGTACATAATATAACAAGGTACTACTTTATCAATAATATTAAAAGAAAAATAATCAAGCATGAATTAATCTAAAAGGAAAGAAGAATAGATTAAGACGTTGTCTTTATTATTACATTATTGTTTTTTAATCAAGTGCTTATATACGAAATCCGGCAACAATGGATGCTGCTGTTGCTATGTACGTTATAATTTAGGTTAGGTTCACAAAATTATAAAAATCAACTTACCTCCTTTAACTCATTTGTATTCCATCATTTTTTTCTTATTCACACTGTCATAGTTTCTTGTAAAACAATTCTGAATGCTGCGACATCTTTACAAACACAGAAAAGACGATGTATAAAATAAGCAAGTGGTCACAAAACTGGTACAATAAATGACTGAATCAGGCAAATTGAGTAACGAAGTTAATGAGCTTGTTACGGTATTTGACTGAAATTGTTCAGTGATTACAAGGAATAACTGAAATGCTTAGTCAAACGTTGTAATGATGAAACTGTTACGGTGTTTCACGGCAATAAGGGGACTGACTAGGCATTTCAGGGAATGATGGATTTCAGCGTTTGACGCTGACATATACATGTGAGGTTGAAATAAACTACTTCGTATGGTCCGACCAAGGGTCAGTTTTTTGGCTGAAGGTCGAAGATTGACGTATTAATCATAAATAATGAACGTTTATGCCTCCGGATCCAACTCTGATAAGTAGGAATTACTGTTTAATGTGTTGAATCGGCAGGCAATAATACCGTAGCTGAGACGACTTTGAGTTAGACGATAATATGATGAACACTTAAATCTAATTAAGCCGTGTTACATTCAGATCAAAATATTATAAAACCAAAAAATATCAACTTAATTAAAGTATACCAGAGAGAAAGACACAAAGTTTCAGGAGTTAGAATTATTTACGCTAATAAACCGAATAAAACTGTTTAAACAGTTGAAATAGAAATTGAAACTAGCTATATATTCATAGAACTATATTGGCAACCCGAGTTGCTTATTTTATTTCTTTAACATTTAGCATGTAGAATAATTGATATGCGAAACATAGAAGTAAATGTCCGTCTTGGAAACAAAGTAACCATTTTTTTACTTAATTTTATTTTTTGACAGTGAAATAAGTTAAAGAATCAATATTGGCTTTAGTGCATGCTTTTGTAGTAAATGTTTAAGGAAAAAAACAGTAGGTGGAAATAAAGTTCTGAAACTAATTATGAAACGGGTGTCAACGCTGTCAATAATTAAATATCAGAGCAATAGAATAGCAACATAGTGAGACCACATTGTAAGCTGACCTTCCTGTTATTATAGGTTTGTCCTGCAGCATTGAATATTTGACAATAAGAGTATGTACAAAAAATGAGCGTTCCAAGTTGCACATACCTATTCCATTTCTGGCCTAGAAAAATACCGAATTAAAACGTTGTATTAGCGCGAAAGGCGGTCTTAAAAGCATGATTGATCCTGGAAGGTAATGTCCGGGCAATAAATTATAGATAAGATGAACCGCATTCTATAGGGGCAGGCGGCTTGGTTAGATTCTCTTCAGTGGCGGCGGGCTAATGCTGTGGTGTAGGCTTAAATTCCCAATATACTGTGATTTTTAAAATAGAGGCCATGTTTATTTGTAAAATATCTCCAGACTTTTGAGAGGCAAAATATTTCTTTCAAATTTCAATTTTACCGAAGCCATAAATCCAGTCTCATCTAAAATCTAAATATGAAAAACATTTAAATTACGAAATTAAAGCTGAGTATTTATCCTTCTCACTACTAATTTCATTAACTATGTAAAATATTTCACCAGTATCTAGTTTGAACGCTATCTGTCTACATGCGTCTTGCTTTGTTCAGCCACTTTAAGCGGAAATCAAAGTATACACAATTTTTGCTGTTTCAAGAAATCCTCCCAAGGTCAATACAAACAGATACCTCGGTCATGATTTGTCGGTAAAACTTTTCTTCCGAAGGCCGAACAAGTGACCGAAGTTGCATTTTTCGCAGAATGTTACAGAACTTGAAGCTTCTGTCGGACCCTACTTGTAGTACTTCATTCACATTATAGAGAAAGTGTGATCGTTGGTAATGGGAAATATTCTGGTCGAATTGGCTGATGAAGTCACATTACAGACTGTATCAGAGAAAATAGGATATTTTTTTACCCTGTAAAACAAGATAGTGCCTATTATTCAGAAATTAGATCTGCAATTTAAAGCTGATGAATATACCTATCCTGTGTCGAAAAAGATCGTAGAGTAAGATTTGGCATTAAACAGTTATCACACATTCCGAATTTTACCAAGTTTTATTATTGTATATTTTACACATGAGCGAATCTATTGGATTGGTTGATGTATGGTTATGATTATTTGAATCAAAATTTGCACTTCTTAAAATGTGCCAAAACGTTGTCCAAAAAATTTGGCAGATTATTTTAGTTATTTTTTGTTGCATTGTAAGTTGCTGGGAATGTTTATGTTTATGTATAGTAAATCTAGTTAAAATAATATTTTATAATCTACATGAAAATGTAATGAAGAAACCATAACAAAATAAATCATAATTTAAATTGTGACATACTCAAAGTTATCTGTTTGTTTCAGGTATACTATTGGCATGTTCCGGAAAGGTTATCGAAAAACCTTGGACGTAGATGACCTATACAACCCAATATCAAGTGATAGGAGTACAGTATTAGGAGATAGACTAGAAAGGTGAATAAACGTTTGTTCTCTACCACTAAAATGTTTACCAAAACACTGAAGTGGATCTTTGGTTTATTAAAGGTCTATTTCTTGAGCCGGTATTATTGCTTACAAGCATATCTGCTACATTTTCTAACTTTATGGATTTCGAAATATCTTGAATATGTTGAATTGATACTTAACTTTAACTAATTCTACTTTGTACGCTAAATGCTAAAAATAACTGTAGGAGGTTCAAATATTACATGACCTTATTTCATATCACATCTGATTTAGTTATCTCTAGTGTAAACTGATATTTGCAGTTTAAATATATACAAATATTAAAACTGCGCAGCTTTGTTATAGGCACTTGAATTGTATTGTTCAACAAAATAGTACGCTGTTGTCTGAAAACTTTAAAGAACGTAATTGGATAGGTCTCCTACTTAGCAGATTACAAACCACAATGTCATATCTTTACTTGAAAGCCAAATTGCAATTCTAGGAAAGGCAACGATATACATACGCGCCAGTAGAGAAACTGCAGCATATTTACAATACAGGTTTGTTTTATGAAATAAGTTGCAAGATAAACGAGATAGCAAAATGAAAAATCCATTAAATTGGGAAATTATTAAATTTTAATGAATCAAAAAAAAAAACCAGGCACCCTATCAAAACATTTATTAAAATAAAACACCTCAAAATCATAAACTGTTTTACAAAATAGCTTATAATTAATCAATTAATTATTAAGTAATCATTCACAATAATCAAAAATCAGTATTTAGCTTGAACTTATAGTTTAGTGTCTTTAGTTACTGTTTTTACAATAATCACAGAGATACACGGGATTCATAACCACTACAAGCACATTAAGCACTGTACCTATTCCAAATTAACAATATGACATCCTAAATTAAAATTTCATGTCACATTTTTAATTCTAAATATATTCACAAAATCAAAATAAAATTGTAAACTAACAAGTTCAAATAATTGCAATGAAGATTTTAAGTATCATAACAAATGATTATCAATAATTGCATTCTGACAGAAAAAGTTTTCAAAGTAGACGTCCCGTTCCCATGTGGCTGGTAGCAGCAAATGTCAAGATGGCCTCCTGTTTATAGTATAAGTAGTTTTGTGTAATTTACGTTATATTCACGACAAAAAATACAGATAGCGTTCACATTTATTTAGATAACTAAGTATTACAAGTTACCAGCAGTACTCTAAATATGCTGCACTTGCTCTACGTCGGGCTCATTCAAATGCGTTTTATTATTTTTTATCCAAACTAATTGTGGATCTCATTGTATTGTGTTTTATGGGGTTTTTAATGAATTTTGGTATACTCATTTTATTTGGTCTGAGTTGGAATGGTTTTCTTATCTTGTTTGTGGGGTATAAAATGTACGTGGACTAATTATAGTTACTAATATAGTAGTTAGAATTGATAACGTATTCCACCTGAAGTAAGCCAACCATATGTGGTATTCTGGCGCCTAAAAAGGGATCTGGAACATACTAGCGCCCTTTAGCAGACAGTAGTGGAACAAGATGAATTTATAATTCTATACTTTGAAAAGAAAAGAGTTATTGCGTTTGGTTCTGCATTTGTCTGATACTAGGCTTGTCCGTAAAATAAGTTCCACGGGCTGCCGCTGGCGCTAGGATCGTTTCTATGCACAGCCAGGCAACAGAGGCAGATTGTTTGGTTCCCACACTCCAATCCCTCACCAAGCCAGCGTCGCTGCGACTGCGACGTTTAGTCTTGGCTCAGCAGCAGTCAGCGATGGAGCTTCCTCTTGCGTCTCCCGCCAGCTGCGAGTTGCGGTCTGTTATTCGTTTCCTGGCCGCTAAGAAGAAATCGGCGAAGGAAATTCACGAAGAACTTTGTCAAGTGTATGGAGAAGACTGTATGAGCTGCGGGATGGTGCGCAGATGGGTCAGGGACTTTAAAAATGGCCGAACAGACGTCCACGACGAAGCCCGTGCAGAGCGGCCATCGGTTTCCGACGAAACAATTGCCAAAGTCGAAGCGGCAATGCTTGAAGATCGACGGATTACAGTTCGGGAGCTGTGCACAAAGATTCCGGAGGTCAGCAAAACCACAATTGACAAGATTTTGACTGAACATTTAGGCTATTCAAAGGTCTGCGCAAGATGGGTACCAAGAATGCTCACTGCAGACCACCGGCGGCAGCGGGTTAAAGCGGCCCAAGAATTTCTCGCTTTTCACGGAACAACCGAAGAGGAATTTCTGGACTCTATTGTTACTGGTAACGAGACCTGGGTACACTACACCACACCGGAAACAAAGGAGCAATCGAAGCAGTGGAAGCACTCTTCTTCACCAAGAGCAAAGAAGTTCAAACAAGTCCTGTCTGCCGGGAAAATCATGGCTAGCGTTATTTGGGATCGAAAGGGCGTATTGTTGTGCGAGTTTATGCCTCGCGGGACAACAATCAATGCTGACCGGTACTGTGAGACCTTGAAAAAACTTAGACGTGCCATTCAGAACAAGAGAAGAGGAATGCTGACGAAAGGAGTGCGTTTTCACCATGACAATGCCCGACCGCACACCGCCAATCGAACCACAGCCCTCATCGAAAGATTTGGATGGAAAATGGTGTCTCACCCACCCTACAGCCCAGACTTAGCACCAAGTGACTTCCATCTCTTCCCTGAGTTGAAGAAAAACCTTGGCGGAACCCAATTCTAGACAGATCAAGAGGTGCAAAACGCGGTTGTTAGTTTTCTACACGGACAGGCGGCAGAGTTCTATGACTCTGGTTTGAAGAAGTGGGTGCCTCGATTGCAGAGATGCATAGAACGCAACGGCGATTATGTAGAGAAATAAAAGAAAGACTGAACTTTCCAAAAATGTATTTTCTTTGCAATTAAACCAATTTTTTGATATGAAAAAAATTTGTGGAACTTATTTTACGGACACGCCTCGTAGATGGTACTAGGATCTCCTATCATTTTGTCCTCTGTAATGCCTAGAGAGGAGAGGCCAAAAAGGGATTGAACATCTTAGCACCATCTACAAGTCAGCAGAAAAACCAGATACTTAAACTCATTTTAAAGTAGGTTTCTAAATTCATTTTACTTCCTACGCCACTGGCGAGAATTGTAATCACGAAAAATTTCGAAAATGAGACGATATGTTCTTTTGATGTTATATGGCATGTACATTATGAAAAACCATGTCACTGATTTCCGTCAGTCTGTCTGTCTGTCTGTCTCTCCGCTAATCCTTGACGCCGCCATAATTTGAAAAGTACCAGTCGGATTTTGATTAAATTTTCAGCCAAGATCGGAAAATCTTTGGGAAAACAAAAAAATCGCTCAAACTTCGTTCCTTGACGTTTCAGAGAATCCTGATCGCTTTTCAGTTTTTTAAGATTCTTTGTGGTTAATTTGCAGCTGGGAGAGGGTATATCTCAATTTTTTGACGTTGGTTTACTCATACGTATCCAGTTGCGGTAATTCTACCTACCTATTAAACATATTTCACTAGTCATATATTTCATCGTACATTTATCCTTAAAACTAGAAATACATCCGACCCTCGCGTGTCGATCATACGCTTCGTGGTCCTGGTGATGCATGTGTGAAGAAGTCGGCCTCCGCTGCTCGGATGAGTGAGAACCGTCGATCGTCATACACGCTAGATGTACACATAGTTTCGACCCTGTGCGGCCGCTGTAATTTTTCTCAGGGGAAGGGGAGTGCCATCCATCGGCAAGAGATAACTTGGTGTATCTGCCTACAAAACTTTTTGAAGAGCGAGACGAAGCGTATTTTATCAGGAAGTCAAATCCTGAAGAACCCCAAAATTGTACATAGAAACCTGCAAAATTTGCAATTTTTAATTGTATGAGCCTATCTGACAAACTTGATTGAATTTTTGTTATACTTACATGTTCGTAGCTAACTTATTTCTCAGCGGGGCCAAGTTGTGCCGAACATAATTCTTTATGAATGAAGACAGCGTTGCCTAGGAGGTGCAGAGTCACTCCACTTGGCGCCATTTTTTCTGTTCTGCTACTGTCTCATAGATGGCACCTGTATCGGATCCCTTTTCAGACGATGGATAACAGTATATGGTTGCCTACCTTTAGATAGAATATGCGAATCAATGCTGTCAGCTTGGGTTGGCAAAGGATGGCGAAGATAAAAATTTTCCGTATACGGTTTCCTAATCAGAAATTCCAATTCGGAATTCCGTGAGGCTAGCGCAAACGTTCAATTTTTTGAAGTGAATATTATACTACCAGTACGTTCAGTGGCAGCTCTGTGAATGCTTGGCGATGGAGTACGACGATTTAATTGCGATTGCACTTCTATTATCATTATTAAAAAAGAAGAAAAAAAAACGTCGGTATTGGGTGCATTCGTTAAACAGTTGGAGAATCTACGTGAGTCTATTTTATCTAAAAAGGGCAAAGTTACGAGCATATCCAGATAAATTCTTTGATTTCTAGATGATGTCAATACAATCTTTCGATGAAATTCATAATTTCAAACGTGATAAATTAAGAAAGCAAGATACCTGGGTGAGATTATCTCTGGATCCACAACATAGATCTATAAACCGAGGCCGAAGCATAAGAGACGAGTTTGCTCAGTACTTCATGACGCCGGCAGGAGGAATATCATACCTATATAACGAAAGGATTACCAATTTACAACAATAAAAGTACAGTGGGCAATAGTCTTTGTAATGAAAGTGAAAGAAAAGTAATTTTACTTTTGTTTTCTTTTTCCACTTCTGTGCACGAGCTCCAATCCTGTATAACCTCTTTGAAAACTTGTTCCCATGCCAAATCTTTGACATCTCTATTGTGGTAGTCCTTGCCATGAATATCCCACAAGCAGGAGTGCTTTTCAACAGCCAATGTTAGTTCTTCTGCTTGACACATTGTCCTGATGCATTCGAGCTCTTGATGCAACGGCGTACGCACGTCACTGCGTGGTTCTGGATAGAAATTTCCTACTGTGTGCGGCAGTACATTACAAATGTTTGCCAGTGCTGCGTTCCGCGTGACGTCACTAGGTTTTATCCGTTCCGTTTTAACGAACGCTTCCGAAACGTACGTACGGAATGTGTTCCGTTCGAAAAAAAACGAACGTGTGCGGCAGTCAATATATTTCGTTAGCGTTTGATGCATTTGAGTCTCCGAATACGGAAAACGAATCCGGAAATCAAACGCGGAAAACGAATGCATGCGCCCAGCCTAAGTACCCGTGCAATCTTAATACATAATCTAAGTGTAAAGTAATAGCGTGTACCATTGGGAAAGTTTTTCTTTTCCACTAACAAAGTTTTGTAAAAGTATTGAGACTGATAAATTTTTTGGGAATATCGTATGAGTTTTGGACAACAAAAAATCATGAAGCGCGATTCATCGATACTTTTTGGATAAATTTTGCTGGTTTCAACAATAGCCATTCAAATTTTATTCTTACCGATTACAGCAGAGACAATAAGCATATAGTCTATTAAAATGAACGAAACTGTACAAAATCTACAATAAATTCAATAATTGAGTAAAATTTATGGGATATCGTTGGAAGCGAATACTCCATAAAATAATGGGAAGTTTGGGAAACATATTAAAATACAAATAAAATATTTTGACTCTTTCCAGAAAATGGATAAAGCACTTAGAACGCTCAACAAAGCTCGGCAAGAACCCGAGTCTCCTGAAAGTGCTGGTTGCCACGTTCTGGCCAGAGTACTTATACTTAGGTGTTATTTCCGTAATTCTGGACTTGGGCATTCGGTTAGCGCAGCCTATCATGCTGGGCAACCTCCTGGAGTACTTCAGGCCAGGCACCGAAATTACCAGGGATGAAGCATTCATGTATGCAGGGGGCTTGGTAGCCCTGATTGGTGTCAGCGCTATACTGATCAATCAGTACATCATGTGTGCTTTCCACTATGGGATGAAAGTCAGAGCTGCTTGCTGCGCTCTGATATACAGAAAAGTAAGTAGCCGACTTATATATTCCTACGTAACCATGCATCAGTAGTTCCACTACAACATATTTATTTTTTCAGAACTAAAACCTGAAATTCGGTGACAACTAGGTTTAGCCAGTTAGAACTAGGTGTAGCCACTGGCAGTTGGCTAGTCTTAGATGTAACATTATACATTCATGGCCAAACCTAGTATTAGCCGATTGCGTTCGCTTTAAACTAGGACCAACAAACTTAAAAACGTTACAAGCAGGTTTAGACGAGTATTTTTAAAGAAAATATAATGTGAACAAGGCTAAAAAAGATGCCACTGTAGAACCAAGTGTGGAAGTAGAAGTGTCTTTGAAAAGCTGCCGATATTTTGTGCAACTCTAAATGTCATTCCAGTTTACGTTATTCACAAACATTGGCGCTCCCAGGAGGGGGTGGGAGTAAAGGGGGTAATTACCCTCCAGACGACTCGAGCAGTCTTTGAAAAGTCTTATAAAAAAATCTGTAACTTTAAGAAAGGATAGCGGCAACACTGCCAACCCGCTCAGTACGCATGCGACTCTCCCACACCAACAGGAACGGTGTGCGCTTCTTCCTATTGGTACAGGTATAGTCTAGTCTTTTATGGTCTAGTCTAGTGTCTAAATTCTGTACTAGTTTGGAGTCCGCAACAAAATTTGGCTGAGAAGTGAACAAGCGGAGTTGTGTTGATCTGGTTGTTATTAACGCTATTTTCTATGTTCTATTGATTTTTTATTTTCCACGCATAAGCCGAAAATGAATTTTTGTTTGTTTTTAATTTTTATACTATAAAAGAATCGTGTCTAAAAAAATGATAGACGGAAAAATGGAGATTTAATATAATTTCAATTACGAACTGTTCGGTTCATACTCCAGCTATCATTATCATCTATGTCTATTTTCTCTCTGTATACAGGGTTATCCAAATTAAGTGTCCACCATTAGTAACTTTGTTATTAGTGAAAATACAAAGTTGTTTGAATTAGCAAACTAGTAGCATTTTTAACGCTGGTAAAAATGAGAAATAAAAAAAAACAATTGAGAGTCGTTATTTTGATTTTTTTCAGTAAAATAACATTTTTTTAAAGCATCAAATTTTAAACAAAAAAGTTCATAATGACTTTTCCGCTAAAGTCAAAAATAAAGTCAAAATAACGATAAATATTTTTAATTATTTGCAGTATTATAATATTAAGACGGCTATGAAAACAACATGGCGTTCGCGATTTGACAGCATTAAGATAAGCGACAAATTGTTAAACTGGACATACTCGCAACTAGAAGGCTTTGGAAAACAATGATAAAATCAAATAATGTCAAACATTAGTGTAAATACTTGTTTATAAGCTTTATTGTGTCATTAATTTAAAGAAAAATGTTCTCCCATGAAGAAAAGTGTGATATGTTAGAATGCTATTTAGTGTGCAGAAAATCCTCCTTGAGAGGAAGAGAATTATATCCCGCTCGCATTCAACCGTATGAACGATATTTTCTGAGACTTTATCGAAAATTTAGGGGCAACGAAAATGTTTTTGCTAAAACAAGGGCAAAAAAAGAATTCATAATAAGCGAGGCCACGGAAATTGCAGTTATTGGATATTTTGAAGCTTATCGTGAGAATTCAATAGCAGATATTCTCAAGGACTCTAATTTCAGTTATGGTACTGTTCAAAGGATTTTAAAAAAATACAAATTTATTCCGTATAAGTACCGACCAGTTCAAACGCTTTTGGCAGGGGATCCAGAGAGAAGACTTGTTTTTTGCCATTGGTATCTTAGCTTCTGTCGCCAAAATGTTAATAACTTTCGTTACCTTTTATGGACAGATGAATCAAAATTTTCAAATTCTGGAATGTTTAATAGAAAAAACCACCATTATTGGTCAAGAGAAAATCTTTTGTTAGTACATCCAAGAGGCCCACAAGTCCGTTTCAGTTTCAACGTTTGGTGCGGTATAATTGGTTCAAAAATTGTTGGCCCGTTCTTTTATGAGGGAACCCTAACTGGTGAAAGATATGTGGAATTTATGTCAGAAATTCTGACTAATTTCTTAGACGAATTGGATCTTATAAGTAGACATCATCTGCATTTTCAGCAAGATGGCGCACCTGCCCACAACTCCAGAGGTACTTATCATTTTCTAAGTACTACTTTTAATGATCAGTGGATAGGAACAAATGGCCCAATACAGTGGCCTCCCAGATCACCAGATCTAAACCCACTTGATTACTTCTTGTGGGGTTACTTAAAGAACCAAATTTACAAGCGAAGGTACGATAACCTTGACGCGTTAAAGACTGCAGTTAGGGAAAAGATAACCCAGATAGATGGTAGGACCATACTTAAGACAGTTCGAGCAGTTGAAAAATGTGCCCAAAAATGTATTGAAGAACAAGGTGGTGTTTTCGAGCATCTTCTTTAAAAAAAATTGTTATTGTATTTTGTAAGATTATAAGTTGATGTTGAAAATAAAGTTTGTCGATACAATTTAATTGTTTCAGATTGGAGGCCATAACTTCAACAATTTGTAACCTAGGAGAAAAGTTATTGTAAGCTTTTTTGTTTAAAATTTGATGCTTTAACAGAAAAAAATATAATATACAGGGGTTTCCATTTAAAAAAATGTTATTTTACTGAAAAAAATCAAAATAACGACTCTCAATTGTTTTTTTTTATTTCTCATTTTTACCAGCGTTAAAAATGCTACTAGTTTGCTAATTCAAACAACTTTGTATTTTCACTAATAACAAAGTTACTAATGGTGGACACTTAATTTGGATAACCCTGTACATATAAGCACTTCAGTGCATTTCGTTCATCCGAGATGGCAAATTATATATTTAGTTTTTGAAAATTGCGTGAACTTAAGAAATCTTGTTTTCCAAACAGAAAAGGTTCTTTGTTATGAGGTACGTGAAAGCGTGGAAACCAATAATGCCGTTTATTTGACAATATTTGTGTAACTTTTAGCGCTAGTTGACGGCTGCTGTTGTCAGGATGAGTAAAAGGAAACAGAATACCATCGATTGGTTCCTTTCTAAACAAAACAAACTGTCTGATCCACCGGCACAAGAAATACCGGAAAAAACTGATGATAATCCTACAAATCAACCTGAGCTTTCCAATTCAAAATTTCTTGATGTTGCACCGTATGCTGAACCAAGTGTTGAACAATCGGGTGCGAAACCTAAAGGATCCAATTTTGTTGATGTTGCGCCGTATGTAAATTTCTGCGGCAACTTGTCTTCCCATGAAAAATATACCTTATTGAGGTGTGCAATTATCTCTAATCCCTATTCTTGAAACTTGAAAAATAATAAAGAAGTGAAATGTTACTTATAAAAAAAACACTTTGAGAAATTTCCTTGGCTGTCATGTTCAGTGGAACTACAACGGCTTTTCTGTAAATATTGCGTGGTTTTTGCAAAATTAGGAGGAGTACATAAATCAAGTAAATTTGAAAAACTTGTTACCGTACCACTAAAGAAATTTTCGAACTTTTTAAACATTTACGAAAATCCAGAGAATGATATAAGAAATATTGGATAGGTTCAGAGCGAATTAAGCAAGTATTAGAAAATCGGCAAAGATTGACTTCTATAATAGAATCTATAATTTTTCTGGGAAGCCAAAATATACCACTTAGAGGGCATAGAGATAGGGGACGACTTTTTTCTAATGACAGCACGAATGACGAGGATGTCCTTAATAATGAAGGAAATTTTAGAGAACTAATACGGTTTAGAGTCGAGAGCAGCGGCAATTTCAAAAAAAAAACTTAGAGAACTCAAGAACGCATGCTACGTACATAAGCAGCCGCATCCAAAATGAAATTGTAGAATGTTGTGGCGAATAATTCTTGGATATAGTTTTAAGTCGCGTCAGGCAAAGCCAGTATTATAATCACAAATGTCAATCGTATTGCGGTATTGTTATCAAAAACATATTTCCGAGGACTTCATGGGATTTGTGGATTGCTACTCAAATTTGCAGGTCAAATTCTTGCTCAAACAGTCAAGCATTTCATTAAAACCAATAACTTTGACTCAAAACTATGTGTGGGCATTGGAACTGATACGTGTAATCTAATGGTGAACAAAAGGGCGCTGTAATGGAATTGCAATAATGTTTGCCAAATGCTCAAATTTGCCCATGCGCAAATCATGTCTTGAATCTTTCGATTTCAAAAAGCAGCAATGTCCAAGCAGTAAGAAATACTGTAGGTATAATGAAGGAAGTAACTGCGTTCTTCAAAGCATCCGCTAAAAGAAATACAGTATTAAAAAGAAAACTAGATGGATATCAAATTCGTAGTATGTGCGAAACAAGATGGACCGAGAGACATGATTCTGTCCTCCAATTTGAAAGCAAATTCGAGAAAATTGTAGAGGTACTAAATATTATATCAAATTGGAAAGACCGCGAAGCTTCATCAAAAGCGGAGTCTTTGAAGACTGCCATTACTTCCACCCAGTTTATGGTATCACTAAAGTGTTTGTGTGATATACTAGCATTTAACAGACAATCTGAGTAAGATTTTACAATCAAAAACAATTGACAAACCATATGCTGTCAACGTGATAGGAAATATTATTTCAGTTGTACGAGAAAGACGCTTAAATTCCGAAAAATACTTCAACAATCTCTAAATGTTTGTATGGACTAAATAGTAACGAAAACAAAAATTTAATAAGTACCAGATTAAAAGCAGAATTTGACCTTTGGGAGTCACGTACACAAGATATTATAGACAGTTTACTGTCACTGTATTTATCATGTGATGAAAACATTTTTCCTTTAATTAATAGATGCCTATTATTGATTTCATTGCCGGTAAGTGTTGCGTCATCTGAAAGAAGTTTATTCCATCTAAAAAGGATAAAAACTTGGCTGCGCTCCACTGTGTTACAAGAGGGATTAGCGGGTTTAGTTCTTTTGTATATGCATAGGGAAATTCAAATAGACATGAATACAATCGTACATCGGTTCGCTAGCAAAAAGAATAGGCGCCTTGATTTTTTAATATGATAAAACCTGAACTTTGCCTAAGGTTGTCTCTTCTGTTGGCCAATAAGTAAAAGAGCAATTTTGACTTAGGTGTTGTATTAAGAATTGGCAAAACAGTGCAAAATTTCAGAAGTACTTGTACTGTTAATAGAATTTTTTAGGATAAACCTAGAACACTCGGAAGAATCAGTCATTCAGCGAGAACTGATGACTCAATCTTGGTAGCTCTATTAACAGAACCTCATAACTAAGCAAGCAATTTAAATGTTCATAAAATATATATCTCATTGTATATGGAATTTTTATAAAAATGTGTAACACTTTCCATTTTATTCTAGTCCCTTCGACTGAGTAAAACTGCCTTAGGTGAAACCGCTTCAGGAAAAATAGTGAATCTGCTATCGAATGACGTTAGTCGATTCGATATTGTATCTATATTTATCCACCAAATGTGGATAGCCCCAGCATCTGCAATAATCGTCATGTATTTCCTGTACAAAGAAGCTCAACTGGCTGGAATCGTCGGTGTGGTCGTTGTGTTTCTAGTAACACCTTTACAATGTAAGTAAACGTTATTTTCTACTAACTACATTCACAGCCTTAATTAGGACTTAGAAATTCAAATCATAACTGGATATGAAGACTAAAATTCGCATCGACTAAATTAGTACTTACTACTAGTAATTTTCATTTGTCTAACAATGGTATTACCATGATAATATAAGGTATTTTACTGATACAATAAAACAACATTAAGAACCCCTACCTGCTACAACTTCCAAGCCCCAGTTTTCATCTTCTAGACGAATTTTCCTAAAAATAAAAATCGTTTTTTTTTTGTAGCTTCGCCGCCACTGAATCGTTTTTCAAGGACTATAAATCTTTTTTATCCTTGGCGTAGTAGTAACTTGGTATACAAATTTCATCAAAATCCGACTGGTAACTTTCCAAGTTATACAGGGTGACGGGAAAATAGATGCGGAGCCGGTGGGGGGATATAGTACAAGCCAATCAGGATCGATTTTACTATAGGAACTACTGTCCGAAAATTAGCCGTTTTCGAATTATACTGATTTTTAAGATTTTATGAAATTAATGTCCTTTACACGTTAACGAAGTCATAAAACTTGAAAATTGGGTGTTTCGTTTGATTTTTTTCGTTTTACAATAGAAATATACTAAAATACGAAAATTGATACTCAATGTACATTATTGACGTTATCTCATGCAGTAAGCTTCAAAATAGTTCGATTTTTGTTCGTTCATCTCAAAAGCTTCAGTTTACTAGAAAAAGTCGCATACAAATTTTTCGTACAAAATAATTAGAATACATCTACGTTTTTCAAATGAGGTATAAAAATCACAAATCGATTAAGAATTGGCAAAAATATGACTATTATAAGAGGAGGAAGGGAAAAGCAATAAAAATACTACACTTACAAAATCATACCTTAATACAGGATAATTTGTTTGAAACTACATTTTTTTATTTTTATAATACATTTTCAATATGGCGCCCTCTATTTCTAATGCACACACGTGCTCTTCTTATGACAGCTGATTTTACTACCGCCGAATTCCTAAGAGAGGCTTGAATTTCTTATGCTGCATGTATTATCCTGTTTCAGAAACAGGATAATACATGCATTATCCTATTTCTGAAGTCTTCTATTGTGGGTACAGGAGTTTGGTTAGAATATACTAAAGTTTTCATGCGACCCCACACAAAAAAGTCCATAGTTGTGAGATCGGGACTGCGTGCTGGCCATGGGATTGGTCCGCCTCTACCGATACATGGATTCAGAAACTGCTCATTTAAGCAATTTCTAACACTTAGTCTGAAATATGCTGGGCACCCGTCGTGCTGAAAAATCGTTCTGTGTCTTGTGTGTAGCGGCACGTCTTCAAGTAATTCAAATAGAACATTTCTTAAGACATTTTCGTAGGCTTCTCCATTTAAGTTGTCGGGTAGGAAATGTGGTCCTACCAAACAGTTATTTATAATGCCCATCCAGACATTCAGACAAAATCGCCTTTGAGATCCGTTTGGTCTCTTCATATGAGGATTTTCCACTGCACGTTCACGCTATTAGTGATCGTTATTGTAGTTTGTTATGCCGTCTTTCTCAAATTTTCATTCTCCGGTCCATAGAATTTTTCTTAAATAATTGCTATCTTCAACATCAGCGTTTAAAATAAAACGACGACAAAATCGCATGCGCCTCATGGGATCTTCTTCCTCTATGACGTGCACAGGTGTGTAGTGGGTAAGGGTTGAATATGTTTTCATGCAAAACATACCACACTTGCCATTGGGATAATCCAAGCCGTCGAGCCACAGCGCGAGTAGAGAGAGTAGGGTATCTTTCGAAAATATTTAATGTTTCTTCTTCTTCTTCTTCCACATCATGTCGAGTTTTTGGAGGAAGTTGTTACCTAATAAACATAGCGGTAAGACTATGAGCTAGAGAGTTGGAAAAATATTATTTAGAAAAAACGATACACAACGTGTGGATGTTTCCATCTTCAGAGCCGTGTAGATGCTCGTGTTCAAATTAATGAATCAACTCTTAATTAAGAAGTTCAACCAACTGTATCAAAACAACTATGTTACAGTATCATCAGTTCAGCCCGCAAACCTCCAATGATGCAAACTTACCTTGATACCTTACGACGGTACCGCGCTCTCGAACCCGACGGAACGTTTGCCTAAATACGCGGGCGTCAGGTAGGCGACGATTAGGAAAACATTTCCCCATACTCACGACGAGCTTCTTCAGCATTGCCTCTGGCATCTCCATAGTAGAAAAGGATATCGGCATATTCTTCGAAACTGAACGAACAATCAAGTCACACAGTAGCCAAGTCGTAAGAAATCACAGAAAACAGGGTACTGTCTAGGTCGTCAGGAAAAGAATCACACACGGAAGTCCAAAAAGAGCCAAGTCGTTAGAAATATCAAAACAGCGAGCAAACAAACACACCCGAACGCAACAAATCGCAAGAGCAGATTGAAGCGAGGGAGGGAGGGGGTGACTAGTCTTACTTATCACACTATTCCGGTGGCAAAGTCCGATGTTCGCGGCTCTACCTGTTTCTTTCACTCATACCTTTGTCATTTCTAAACCGGTTTGTGACTTTGATACCTCATTATTTGAAAGGTAATGAAACGTAGATATTTTAAAATTGTTTTGCACGAAAAATTTGTAGGTGATTGTTTCTAGTAAATTGAGTTTTTGAGATGAACGAAGATTTTTTTTAACAACAATTGAACTATTTTGAAGCTTACTGCATGAGATAACGTCTATAATGCACATTTGAGTATCAATTTTCGTATTTTAGAATATTTTTATTGTAAAAAAAAAAAAAAAACAACACACCCAA